CCGGGCCTTAAGGCCATATACGGATTTCCTTTGTTTGACGCAGAAGAGACACTTTTTTCCTCTGTAAATTTTAATATTAAAAAACGAACGAATATATTCGGACAAGCATATTTATCAGTTCACTAGACATTTTAATTTTTAGGGCCTGGCACGTTTTAGTGGTTAACGTTCCTGTACCGGGAGTCCAAAGGTTTTTGCTTCGCGCGTCTTGTTGTCACAAAAACGTGTTCCGCACTTTGGAGCTGTGGGTGTACTCTTAAGAGTGATGACCAAATCCCACAGTTCCGTCTGACAAGAGTTGCCCAGAAGTTGATGGTGAGTGCTGGAATGTACTCCTTAAAGTAAAGATCAGAAACTTGCAGGAATCATTCTGGAATGTTGTCATAAAAAACGAAGTAAATTAACGTCATAAGACGTCACCCAGAACATAATTGTTTTAAAAAAATTATCACAATGTTGGTAGACTTTTTATTAAAATATTTGTTGGTGATTCAACAGCCTTGTCTTTAGTCTCTCAGTTTAAAATTAAGGACAGCTATTGGGGTAGCTTTACACGAAACTTCTAAACAAATAAACAAACAACTGGATTTTGAGACGAGTATTACAAAATTGATACTACGTACTAAACACACAAACAGTCTGATAAACATAAAGAAAACAGAAGTGTATTTTAAATCCAATGTTAATTGCAAATTAGCCTATCTTAAAAATGTGGCAGATAACTGAATTTCAGATTATTTGCAGGGCTTTATCTTCGGATCAAGTTGTTTCATTTTTGTGTTAGTATGAATATGTTTGTCAATAGATTCAGCACAGTCCTAAGTGGGAATAGTGTTGAGATGTTTTACTGGAATGTTGCAATAATTTATTGTATTTCATTTCTCTGGCTTTCTCACAAAGGATATCTCACTCTTTCAGAGTGCCTTAGCTTTTACATCACTAATAATCATGAGCTTTGTTTATACAGAATGTTCTTTATAGAGTCCACATTTATACAGTACTTATAGACATGATTTATTGTATCTTCATAAAGTCCACATTTATACATTTCTTATAGTCATGATTTATTGCATCTTTATAAAGTCCACATTTATACAGTTCTTATAGTCATGATTTATTGTATCTTCATAAAGTCCACATTTATACATTTCTTATAGTCATGATTTATTGCATCTTTATAAAGTCCACATTTATACAGTTCTTATAGTCATGATTTATTGCATCGTTATAAAGTCCACATTTATACATTTCTTATAGTCATGATTTATTGCATCTTTATAAAGTCCACATTTATACATTTCTTATAGTCATGATTTATTGCATCTTTATAAAGTCCACATTTATACAGTTCTTATAGTCATGATTTATTGTATCTTCATAAAATCCACATTTATACAGTTCTTATAGTCATGATTTATTTCATCTCTATAAAGTCCACATTTATACAGTTCTTATAGTCATGATTTATTGCATCTTTATAAAAGTCCACATTTATACAGTTCTTATAGTCATGATTTATTGCATCTTTATAAAATCCACATTTATACAGTTCTTATAGTCATGAGTTACTGTACCTTTATTCTTATACAATGCCTTTTCTGATCTCCCATTTCTACGGTAGTCATAGATCCCCCCATCGGTAGCTCAGCAGAAAACAGGAGGTCTTATAACGCTAAAATTTGGGGCTCGATCACCACTGTAAGCAGAAAACAAAAGCTTATTTTTCAGATTTGTGTTTAACAATAAACATATTCATGATTTTTTAAATTCCACTATTCTACTAAACTTTCAGTCACGATTTATTACATCTCTATTTATAATGATGCTCGCCTTAAATTCCATTTTGTGACAGTGCTTATAGTCATGATTTATTTTTCCGTTATTGGCCCACCAAACATGCTCGTCCTTTAAGCCGTGGGAGCGTTATAACGTGACAGTCACTATTCGTTGGTAAAAGAGTAGCCCAAAAGTTAGCGGTGGGTGGTAATGACTAGCTGCCTTCCCTATAGTCTTTCAGTGCTAAACTATGGACAGCTAGCATAGATACCTCTCGTGTAGTTTTGCGAGAAATTCAAAAACAAACAAACAAATAAGGTAATAACAAACCACTTTGAGGTATTTACCACCATTACTGTCAACTCCTAGCAGCTTAATTCTTCCTGTATATATTTAAAACTAGCTATATAACGGTTCCATATATGGTATGACAATACGTCATTGGTTAAGTTACATTAGGATTTGTTATTTACTTAATTTTTCCTATTTATCATTATCACAGCTTCCTTTTCCAAGCCTTATTATTATCATTGACCTTTCTCGAATCTTATGACGTTTACTTTTCGGCTGTTACAGAAAATTTAACTTTATTTATTACTTCCTGTTACCCGTTCCATGCTAAATTATGATTAGTTATGCTAGACACATATTATAATATGTTTAATATATTGTTTTGTATTAAATTTAATGTGGCTGTATTTTAATTGGAGTATTAATAATATAGCTATTTATTGCACGATTCAGATATTCATTCAATTTCTTATTTTGTTTCTATATAAACGTTAATTTTTGGCTCTACACCCGAACAGTAACATGTGTCTTAGCAATTCATCTCAGATGTCAGGCTCCTTTAAAGTAACACTTTCTGGGCTGTTTAATGGATTTTCATCGGCCACAAGACGTTATTGTGGATAAGTGTGGAAAATTTGGCTTATACATTGTTATACTGGTGTTATATTGTTCGTCGAACATTAAATCTACGACAGTACTTAAACCTAACAACTAATGTTCAGAAAGTGGGATGTATTTTATTATTTCTTTAACGTTATTTTCATTAACATTATTGGTGAGAATATTTAATATATCTAGTTTTATTATTATAATTTTATTATATAGATTATTTTGCATTGTTAGCTCAATATACAGGTTTAAGATTATCTAAATCTCCTAAGCTGGGCGAGCCTCGGTAGCGGGCTCTGATCGGAAGTTAGTTTTAATAACAAGCACACGTGAATGGTAATGTCGTCAAATGTTGGAACTAATGTTCAAATGGCTTCGATAATGTTTTACATCCAATAGTTATGACAAAAAGCGATTATTTTCACTCAAACCCCCCAGTCAGTTATATACCTGATATCTCCTGTAAAATGGTTTCTTTTGCCGCCACGAAATAGTGCGGAGAAAATCACTTTGAACTGTTGAAACAAAACGTGTTACACTCGAAACAATTGTTCAACAGACAAGAAACCCGTTGTTTTTGTAAATGTATACCCTGTATTGTGTTACATACTGTGTAACTTTGATTATATTACCATGTAAACCGGATGATGTCAAGTTATAAAGCTTCGTTTATTTATTGTCAGTCCAAGAAGGAGCCTTCAAGAAGCTTAAAGTAGAGACGACTTGCAGTTCGACGCTGGGATCTGCAGGGCTGTCTACAATCGTGGGAACGGGAGGAAGCGGCACCCCGGCGGCCACTGCCGTTAACTGTCCGCCTACTCCTGCTCGTCGCCGCCATCGCACCACCTTCACGCAGGAGCAACTGCAAGAGCTTGAGGCCGCCTTCGCCAAGAGCCACTACCCTGACATCTACTGCCGGGAGGAGCTTGCCCGGATCACCAAGCTCAACGAGGCCCGGATACAGGTAGTTCACCGTTAAGACTGGCAAATTTCCGTTGGTATTACAAACTGATTTCAAAGATACAATGTTTCAAACTGAACTCGTTAGATTGATGAAGTAGGAAACTAAACTAACTTAGTGAAATTATTAACGTTTATTTTTTATTTTATCCCGTGCATGTTTTTATCTTCCCATCGAAGCAAACTCGCCAGCTCATTTAAATATGTATATAAATACATATATATTTGTGAGTAATATTAATTTAAACCTTTTTATTCATGACACTTAACAGCAGACATACTGTTAAATTTGACCGTTTTCTCTTGATTTTTCGTCATTGTAGTTAATATGTTACATGTATACCAATACACCAGATTTTATTACATTAGAAACCGGTGAGAAAAATGGCGATTATCATAAAGTAAACTGATTCGTAAAGAATATAATGAAAAATTACATCATATTTTTTATTTTTCACGAGGATTTTATCATTCAAGCTCCCAATATTTGACACAGATTCACAGGGGGCGCTTTCCGTGGATTTATGTCTGCTGTACCTTCTTTTGGATTTGAAGTAAAACACACACACACACACATCGATGAGTGATTTTATCGAAATCGTAGAGAAGGAATACGCCGAAAATGTTATTGTCGTTCTGATAAGCACAAAGCATGCAATGACACAAAAATAGTTAATTCTCAATTCTCAATAGTCCGACACTTTCAATGTGTATATCTTTCGGAAACGTTCGGTGAAGACATATATTTTCCGAAAAACGCTCGTAGGAAGGGCTGTATCTTTCGGAAGCTCTCGGGGTATACATCTTTCGGAAATGCTCGAATATTCATGCTTCAGATTTCAGAGTAATGTAAGCTAAGTACGTAATTAAACATATTTTATCTAAATCTTTCCATTCCCGCACACACGGGTTATTAAAAAGTAGCTGATAAAATGGGAAATTTATCAGTATGCTTATCATCTCTCAAAACAAGCCTTATTAATTTAAACTTTTACATATTTTTTTTTTTGTAAAATGTGAAACTGATTGATTCGAATTAAGTTTTGCATTTTTTAGATACTTTTATTTCACTATGAAATATACTAAATACATGTAGTTGCAGTTTGTATAAATAACCACGTGTTATTTATTATCACACAATACGAAAGACACGAACATGATACGCAGACCAGTAAATACTTTTCTAACAATATTTATTCCCCCCCTAAAGTATTTATAAAAACATTTTTCATTACTTTAAAGACTTATTTGAACAGATTAGCTGTGCTTTAAGCACGTTGACCGGACCGTTTTATTTTTCTTTTGTAAGTTTTGCTGCATTTAAAGTAAAATATACTAACACTAATTTTTACAGCAGAACCATATAGAGTTTAAAACTAATTAATTTGAACTGATGAAGCATAACGATTGGTCTTTAGAACTTAAGATGTCGGGAAATGTCTATGCTTTTAGTCAGGGTTTTGCACGAGAATTTTGATTGAAACCAAAGTAAATGTGTAACAGCTGAAAAATACAAGTTAACTGATTAGAAACTTGTCGTGTAGATGGAATATTTCATGTCCTTATAAGTTTTGTGTGACTTGTTAGATTTCGATTTTTGACTGTCATGCTTATAATTTCCTTGTGGGTAGCCAATTAAAGTTTGTGTGAAAGAAGAATTAAAAATAAATAAATATTGTCTCACAATTTCTCATTTACCCATCTATCTATATAACTTGAACCGATTTTTTAAACGCATATGAGATCTAAGTTTTGTTCAAACGCTCGGTTGGTTTCATAAGTTATTATACAGAGTTAAGTTAGAATCGGTCATCGTGTGGCTCTCCCTTTAGGTCTGAACTGGAACTATAAATTTGCTATTCAGAGAACCTTCCAGGTGGAGACACTACGTAGTTGATGCTAGTAATCAAATTGATTCTGGATTCTGGGACTATACAGACTTTTATCGGATTACAATAAGAATTTCGTGTAAACACTTTGCAAACATTACTACAACGGTGTGTAAACGTTTCGTGCAAACATTACTACAACGGTGTGTAAGCGTTTCGTGCAAACATTTCTTAAACATCACAGTATTGTTTACGAATTTCTTGTGAGTACTTTGTACAACGACGAAGCATTTCGTGTAAACACTTTGCATACATTACTACAACAACGTGTAAGGATTTCTTATGAACACCTTGTACACATTATCACAACGACGTGTAAGCATTTAGTGTAAACACTTTGTACACGTTATCACAACGACGTATAATAATTCATTGTAAGCACTTTGTATATATTATTAAAACGCGTGTAAACACTTTGAACACGTTATCACAAAGATCTGTAAGCATTTCGTGTAAACACTTTGTACACGGGATCACAACGATCTGTAGACACTTCGTGTAAAGACCTTAAACACGTTATCACAAAGATCTGTAAGCATTTCGTGTAAACACTTTGTACACGGGATAACAACGATCTGTAAACATTTCGTGTAAAGACCTTGTACACGTTATCACAAAGACCTGTAAGTATTTCGTGTAAACACTTTGTACACGTTATCAGAATGGCGTGTAAACATTTCGAGTGAACACTTGGTACACGTGATCACAACGACGTGTAAACATTTCGTGTAAACACTTTGTACACGTTATCAGAATGGCGTGTAAACATTTCGAGTGAACACTTGGTACACGTGATCACAACGACATGTAAACATTTCGTGTAAATACTTTGTACATGTTATCACAACGACGTGCTAACAACTACGAAAGAAGCCGCAATCATAAAATTGCCCAACAGGTAACACCCATTCAACCAGACAGACGTCTGTTCACAAACAAATACAGTTAATTCGTCACAACATTAAATTCGTTTCTTCTCAATGCAGTTAATCAAAAACGGTACCATTATGGTATTATGATATCTTTTTATTATTCTATGTAAGTACTTTTAATAGGATGGATTGATCTTGACAGCCTAGTTTAATCCTTACGGAACTCTCGACAACTTATAAAAGGTTGTTTTTTATTTACAGCTGAGGGGTTTAAAAATCAAGTACATTTTCATAATGACTCGCAAAAAGTGATATAATTTAGCTGACACATTATTCTATGACGAAACCTTGGTGTTATTGAAGCTATTGAAAATGAGTAACGTTACAGGTTTAGTTAATTTAGAGTTACTTTCCTCAGGGTTGTAGCCTCACTAGTTGGTTTTGTGATGATTTTCACGAGATTTAGACCCAGTGTCGTTAGTTTTCTTTCCAATCTGTTTTCTTGTTGTTCGCGAGAGTATATAAGATAATTCGACGGCCTTCCTGTTCGAGTAAATCTAATTGGTGAACGCCTAGGAATGCTACACACATAGACCTGCACTTAGACGACACATGGGACCCTAAGCGCTTTTCGTTTTTCCTGAGCGAAAGTCTCGAAGTCCATTACGTTTCGACTCGGAGCGCAAATTGAATTTGAAAGCATCAGCGGCGAGAGTAAGAAGCGGAACTCTACCGCTGAAGGCGCAAACTAAGCAGGCTAGTCCCATCAACCGTGCTGTCAATCTTCATCACCCCACTTTCCTTGCTCTGAACCCCTAGCGTGGAAAGTTCACAAGTATATGTCGCCTCAGCAACTGGGGGATTACAGGGATAACTTACCTTTTCTCACACTCTTGGGCATACTACGTTCTTTCAAGCTTCTTTATTTTTCACTGGGTTCGGTACTCTTATTCATAGTTCCCCCCATAAAAAAAAAGAAAAAAATTGTCACAGGGAGAGACTAAGATTTCTGTATATCAATCATACCTATAGTATCTTCACTGATTTACCCTAAATATTAATGAAGGCTACAAAGTTGTGGCTCTTTTTTTTTAACATCATATATATTATAAAACCTATGCTGAATCTTATTTGTAAAGGACTGCCGTTTCTGGAAGTTTTTGGATTCAACGTACTTGTCGCTAATTCTCTTGTATTTGCGATAACGTTAATAAATCCACTTCATGAATTGATAAGTAGCACCCACAACAAGAAAACTTAATTGTTATTATCTTCAGAATTATCATTTGTTTTTTTTTCCTATATATGTAACCAGCTTGGGGATCGCTAAAAAATTGTCGAAAGATCCAGTCTAATATGCCACTGATACTTTTCACTTTCAAGTTAGATTGCTTAAAAATCTTCATACAGAGAATGAAATAATGAAGCCCGTTTTCAGACATAAATCAATCTTACTAACCGGCGAAATAATGAAGCCCGTTTTCAGACATAAATCAAGCTTATTAACCGGTAAAATAATGAAGCGTGCAGTATTAATCAAGGTTGCATAAAGAAGTTCGTCAGCCTTTTTCAAACTGTCTTGGAATAAAACAACTATTGAATGAAATATTTGCTCTGAAATCTGAAATAATCATAATACGTTACTTTTGCATTTTAACGTAAGAAATAGTTAATACAGAAACAGATAAAAATTATAAAAAAAACTGTTTGAATAATTCAAATCACGTGTGTAGTACATGTCTAATTACATATATATGGTATTGATAAATGTAACTTCCCTATTAGTATTTCGTATATATTAATTATTGCCCCCCAGTAGCACAGCGGTATGTCTGCGGACTTACAATGCTAGAATCCGGGTTTCGATAACCGGTTAATAAGCTTGACTTATGTCTGAAAACGGGCATATAGACACGTTTTGTTAAAAAAAAAACATTCACTATAAAAATAACTCACAAGTTTCTTTTGGATTCCTTATGTTAGTTTAACTAGTTTAAGTTTAAACAGTGATTCGAACCGTATATTTTTCTGTGTTCCGATTTGACTCCGAATAGGACCAAACTTTTTGGCTTTTATTCCGAAAGCTCCGAACGCTTTATTTCATTCCGTTTCGATTAGAACGAAATAAAATACCTGTTCAGTTTATTTCTAGTCAAGTGGCACTGTATAGGGGTCCACCTTCTTTATTTTCTTGAATAACATTGTACAAAGGGCATGAAATACAGTAAACTCTAGATAACTCTTTACTTAAAGGGAAAATATGTGCATCAATAAATACACTTACTTCCTGTCTATAGAAACAACAACGTGTATGTTACATCCTTTAATAAAAACAACAGAAGTAAGCTTCACTTCTATTTTCTTTTCTCCCCCCCCAGTGGCACAGCGGTATATCTCTTGGCTTACAACGCTAAAAACCAGATTTCGATACCCGTCGTGACGGGCAGAGCATAGATAGTCCATTTTGTACCTTTGTGCTCAACTACAACCAAATTATCCATTGCTGTTTATTTCACCCCAGTTCTCGCTCATAATTTGAAAAACCAAAACTTTCCAACATTCTCGCTGAAAACATCATAGAGAAAAAAATCGTCTCCAAGTAGTTACGTGTAAATAATCTTTTTTATCTTTGTCAGACAATCAACAAATGTATTATATTCATACTTGCAACTTTTCTACACTATATATTACTTCACACACGAGTTAGTGATTATTCAAATTCTTAAATTACGAGAGTACAGCTCGAAACAAGTCACCAAACAATTTTTCATGAGAAAAAAAAGCATAATTCAAATTAAGGTAAGCAAAGTATCAAAATATAATGTGCAAGCAGTTCGCGGATGATTTTTTTTCTCATTTAAGTTTCTTATAAGTTTTTAATTTTTATATTTAAATTGCTTTTTTAACATATATATCAATAAATAAAAAACATAAAAGTACAACAAGAAACTTACCTTAGGCGTCGAGGCCATTTTGTACTCGTGTGATTTGCTTTCGTAAGCCTTGTATTTTCTAATTATGTTGTCCAAAAAATAATTCATGTAGGTTTAAAGTATGCATTTCGAAACAATAAGGGCCCGGCATGGCTAGGTGGTTAGGGCGCTCGACTCGCAATCTGAGAGT